ATAGTAAGGCATTTTTAGCCGAAAAAAACGACCATGTATAGGAAGGCGTTTTTAGCCGAAAAAAACGACCATGTATAGCATGGGTGTCAAACTCATTTCACATTGTGGGCCACATAGGGCATCGGTAGATGTCAAGTGGGCCGGACCATTAAAAATTATACCATACTCTGCTATAAATAACCAAAATAATATGTCTTTCCTTTGTTTTGGTCTAAAGATGCACAAGAACACTAGGAAAATGTTGAAATTTAATGAACATGTCTTTTCCAAAACATTTCCTGAAGCACCGAAGATTTCCTTCGACAAATGTGCAATTTATTTTTCTCATTCACATACAGCCAAACCTCGGTTTTCGAACGTCTCGGTTCTCGACCAATTCGGTTTTCGACCAAAAGTTTTGAGTTTTTTTTATGCCTCGGATGACGAAGAAATTTCAGTTCTCGAACAAACTGAGTGCACTGAGCACCATTTGACTCCTCTCGCCTTCCTTCCACGAGGAAATGACGCTTCCTCGTGCAGCTTTCCATTGTGAGCAGACGTGTTCAATAAACATTTTTGTTTTTAAAAAAGAGCATGGTTTCAGTTTTCGAACAGCCTTCTGGGATGGATTATGGATGAAAACCGAGGTTTGACTGTATATGCATTGCAACTGATCCCACTGACTGTACAAAGGCACAAAACCTTAACAAGTAATTGGTGTTGAAAATATAGTAATGCAAGATTAAACGAGATTTATAAAGAAAGGAATTTTTAAACCATTTACACGAGCATATAAAATCTAAATGTAATCCCTGCCTACACTTTACAAACAAAGGAGAGTGCTATAATATGTGTAAAGAATAAAGTATTCACATGTCCTTGATAGCGTCTGCTGTCATGGGTCTGTCTCAGTGACAGACTGAGGCTGCTGTTGTCTTCTTCTCTGATCAAAACAATGTTCTATTTTCCTCTGATCAACACAGTGTGTCCCCCTAGCGGATATTCCATGAATTGTATTTTATTAAAAATATTTATTCCGTTTCTTTTATGCATTTTTCCACTTTTAAATTATCCTCCGGGCCTGATCAAACCTCGTTGCAGGCCGGTTCGGGGCACTGGAAACCACAGCGCCCTTAGCAATTGTCGATGTTAGCTAATTAGCGAGCCAGCTCTGGCGCTATCAGCCATACAATTAATTGTGTCAAAGGATTTCTTTATTTTTGGGGTCAAGTTGTAGCTGATGTGTTTTAGTTTCAAATGAATGAAAAGCTAGTGTTACTTGGAATCTGGGTTCAATAATATTTGTACTCAAATCTCACTCCCATGCAAGTCCTTAATGAATATGCAACGATTCAGCACATTTTTAAAAGTACTCCTCCCTCTCTTCACTGTTGTGTTTTCTCCAGGCATGGCTCTCCAATGTTACACGTGTATGGGCTCAAATAATGAAGACTGCAACCGCCAAGGCTCCAGAACATGTCCCAGCTACTCTGATGCCTGTGCCGTGGTGGTGGGCCAAAACAGTGAGTCCAACACTGACAGCGTGTCAGCTTTTTTTTGTACTTCAACCTTGGTCGCTACAAAAAAAAAGTTTGTATTTGCGTATATATTACATATCATTATTATTTATATTCTCGTTGCATATTTAATCATTTGTTTTTCAAATGGTGTATAAAGTCCAAACTGAATTCACATCAGCAATAATCTAGAAACTTGAAATACATCTAGAACAGCATGAAGCCATTTTTCTTTCAATATCCATTTTCTTCAGTAGATTGCCTTCAAAATATCTCTGACATGCAGCTCTGCGATTGCCATGGCAACCTTGGACAGACATACGGTTCGATCATATAAAAAGTCTCCACACCCCTGTTCAAATGCTTGTTTTGTGTCATACCCGTCATTTAGAGCCAGACGCAGCAGTGAGTTCTTCCTACTGCAGACTCCCACTGTTTTCTTAACTTCTTTCCCTCGGAAAGCTTTGGAGGCTTACCTCTCTTTCTTTATTCACCTTTATTTGAAAATTGCAGTAAATCCGAAAGGCATGCAGTGTGGCATTTTGACCCCTTCTCGCTGATGCTTGTCATAGTTCAGAATTATTTTGCAGCAACAGCAAGCCTCCTATGTCATCATCCCAGCCGGAGTTGTTTTTTATACAGCCGTCAAAGGACATTTCTAGTACACAAGACTTATTAGTTCTGTCTAGTATTTATTGAATACAATTTATGCTCGCATTGTTTAATTGTTTTTTTTAATACATTATCAAAAGATGTTATCACTTTAAATGGGGTACACACATATAGGCTACCCACAATCTGACAGAAATGTAGCATTTTTCCCTCCCGAGTTAATTCCTTCATTCTGATCAAAGGCAGCAAAGTTGCGATTCACTCGTGTCTCTAAAAGATTCCCAGTTATCCTGTCGCGTGGCTTGTTTGGGGTTTGGTAGGATATTTTTTCCCCTGCCCAATACATCCGTAAATTGGTGTCGCTAACAATCGTAAATGTTAAATGTGTTCAGTATTTCACAATCACAGATCCTTATGCGCGTGGTCAACACCAAGTTCGGCCGATTATGATGCGAAACTGAACTTTAGTCAATGAGAAAGTGACCTGAAGCAAGTACAATTGCCAGATACAAGGTCATTCTTTCTCCTACGACAGACCCCTGGTTTCGGGGAGGAGATTCACATTGTTGCTGGAGTTATCATTACGTGTGCAGTTTTGGTCTTCATGCGTACTGTACATTACACATGAGAAGAGCACACAGGGTGGTTTGTTTTTTTTTCACATTTTAAAAAACGGGTTAAGATGTTAAAAATTTGTAAGTGTGTACCCCACGTTAGTTATGAAAATATATCAGTTTGATGTTCTGATTATAATTGTCCTTATCAATTAATTACTTACCTCTTGATGCCTTTCTGGGCCATTAAACCCTAACTCACATTGTACTTACCGGTAATCAAATTAGACAAAAGCTAAGCGAGCGTGACTGAATTCTCTGTTGTCAGGTGGGGTGATGAAGTCCTGCTCCTACAAGTCCTTCTGCAGACAAGCTAACAGTCAGAGCTATAGAGTTCACTGCTGCTACAGCAGCGACTGCAATTTCACAAACGCCGCCGACCGGCTGCACCCGCTCAGCTATTTCTTGTTGATTTTAACTTGGTTGTCCCGCTGCTTTTTCTGGTAGACCTTGAAAACAATGACTTTAGCAAGTATTTCGACTGTGGTTGCAGCTAAAATATACTCTTCAGCATACTTACTGTACTACCATTAAAATGCCATTGACAGATATATTTACAACATGTGTTGTTGGGAAGAGTTTGTTTGAAGTGTGCCGGGTTGGATTATGCACACCACATAAGATTAAAGCCATTAAGAAGATCTCACGTGGCTCTGGCGTGTGCCTTTTCTTAAGCCGATAAGATAAGAAGGGAAGTGCTGAAATATCATGTAACAAACATTTACCTGGTGTTCGCACGGGAATTGAAGCGGACAGCGAGAGCGTTCGGCATGTTTCACAGGCGTTGATAAAAATGAAATAATTAGTACAAGTTGGTTGGTGTGCCATCACATCATCGACTCACGGTCGTTTAATGAGCTATTTCGGAATGTGGAGAGATAGTCATTAGCACAAACTGCAAATCCACATAAGCCTTTAACCTGTAACCAGGAGTGTCGCACGCATGAGGCTTTTACAGTCAGTGAGAGCCATAAATGCTGTACATACACAAAACTGGGTACTGTATGTGCATCCACTGCCTTCGCCAGCAGTGTTTGTTGAAACACTACAAACACAAAGCTACACTTAAATACTGAAAGCACAACTGTTTGTCAATCAATAAAGCAGATGCAAGTAGTCTCTCTCTCGACCTATGTATATTCTACAAAACAGAATTTATAGTGGATCAGTGCTGCCGGATGATTGTAGAATTGTACGGCATTAATTCAATGCCCAGTAAATGCTGTGTTCATGTTTGTAATGTCTTCATGAATAAACGACATATTTACGAACAATTATATTCATGGTGTCCTTATTTCATTGTATGTTTTCTCAATTTAGTGTTATTTGAGCGAAATGCAGGTATCATATCAACACACAAATATAAACCTAAATGCATAATTGTACGATGTTTAGACGTTCCTGCAAGTAAACATTAAAAGCTGGGTTATGTTTTCACGGAACTGTCTAAACCCAATTTGGTGAGCGTACTGAAAGAAGAATAGGCCCACTTTTCTCTTATGTTAAATAACAGAAGCTGAACAGATTGGTTAAAACGAATACAAATCCATGAACCCTGAAATGCTTCTCATGATTAACTTTACAACATTTAAAAGCATTTCAAAGAAAGAACTAAAGACATTTAAAAACAAAGTACAGACAGAAATGGGCATAATTTGCTGTATGAATGCAAGAGCTGTGCATTTTTCACATAAGGACCACTGGGAGTCAGTCTAACCACACTTAACTTCTACATGCACGCTCCAACCTCCCCCTACAGTTCGAATTCCAACTGACCAGTGTGTCTCTAAGTTACCTGTTGAGAATGTCAGTCGTGATATTTCATTTTTGGCAGTTTGCTTTACTTATACTCTCAGTTCATTTCATTCGACTGCTTGAGGGACTCACTTTAGACGTTGTTACAGTCATGGGTCAGTGAATTGTTGAAGCATCACACAATTCTCGTGAATTGAATCAACACCTGTACTTGTCCTCAACATGGACGAAAAGTGGAACCTTGATTTTAAAACAGTTCTTTTAATTGTAAAGAATGAAAATGAATACGAGGTAGCTTTGACAGCAAGAGATTACACTTCCCAGTTGGGGAGAGACCGTTAACTACAGTATTTCCACTGCCCAAAGTCCGTGACTTCAAACATCTCCTTGGCCTCACAATCTACACAATGTTCACACAACTCTGGTGGTGAGCCGTCTAGGCTAACAAGGCCTTCTCTGTTGGTGTAAACATTATAAGATATATCAAAAGTACTGACCTACATTTCCAAACTAAATGATAATTTTTACATGTAACTGTATGAAATTATTCCCCACAGTCTACTCTCAGCCATTCTTTGTAGGGAAGAAAAAATTGAAAATCTGTTTTCTACAGGTATATCCACAGTGATATGATACATTTACTAAAATCCTCTCTTCGCTCCTCCCTCTCTATGTGTCCTAATATGAGTTAAAATGTTCATGGGCATCCAGTCAGTTAACTTGTCAATAGTTCCTTTGGTTTAATACTGTATTAAGTCTTGCACATGGCGCACAGCAGCTCGCTTCTTTCATTCCACTTCAGAGGACAGTGTTGTCTGTGACTACCTGATACATTTCCAAGCTAGGAAAAACACCAGCCACATATCTATGTATATTTTCTACACAGTATGCTGGTATTCTATTTATGGGTGTTTTAGCACCCCAGGAAATGGGCAAGAAATGCCTATGGGGTGTAGTATTCTAGGATGAAGAAACTGATGGTGTAGTGGTTTACTCGCCAGACTCCTGTGCAGGCAGCGCATGTTCAATTTGCATTGAGTGACGTTGATGAAATGGAATCGTTCGCTGGTTCAATGTCCCCGCCCCGTGAGTGACTGGCTACCATCCAAGGTTACTTTCGCCTTTTGCCCATAGTTTGCTGGGATAGGCAACCAGCTCCCTGTGATCCTCAACAGGATACGCGGTATAAAAAATATCAAGATTCTAGGCTGGCCTTCTCCATTTGAAGGCAGATCTGTAAATGCAAAAAATGGCTCAAGCACATAGATAAATCGAAGCATGCACATGGTTACAATGTCAGTCAGCGTACGACCCACGTACAGTATGTCTTCTACGCAAAGGTCATCACCATAGCAGTTGTGCGCTTTCTATCGGAATGGGTTTTATTCCCAAATCTCAGGCACCCAGAGACATTATCACCACAAATCCCGCCACCTGCCCTTTAAGGAATTGGAAAAAATAAAAGGGGAAATAAACCCACTGCATTTCATCTTTCTGCCTGTGTAAAGCACCGGTTTATAGACTTGGAATGCATGGCCAGTTTGTGATAACGGCAAACTGCAACGAAGCTGATGTCAAATCGTAAATACTGGCAACAAACAATTATAAATAATGCATATTTGAGTGTGTTCTAATGGAGAGAATATTACACAAATGACACAGATGGATTGCTCTCCTTACTTACGGTACGCAAAGAAATTAACATTCAGAGGCACGTCTCATTCTGACTGTCTTTACAATATGCACTCCCTCCAAAAACTACTTAATGAGTTATATGCCGGTCATGTTCCTTTAAATCATTAAGCGGCCTCTCTGTGCAAAGTGACAGCCAACAAGAGCAGATAGTGCGACAAGTGGTTGCAAACACTGCAAATTCTCATGCCGTTGGAGGCCAAGGGAGGAAAGAGGTGGGTGGGGCGGGGGGGGGGGGCATAACATGCTTTGGGGGGCAATAAGAGCGTGTGAGATGATGGCCATGTTACAAGCGTCCAGGACCTGGCTGGTCGGCCCGAGTTCATCCAACGGTCAATGGTTCTGAGGTCCCCGGGTCTTGGATCTTTTTGAAAAAGATCTGTGAAGCAGAATTAAAGTGATCTACCTCCGGACTCCGGACGAAGGAGCAGAAAGGCTTTTTAGTCTGTGAAATGAGGAAAAGGAGAAATATAGAGAGAAAGGGAAGAGGAAAGAAAGGGGGTGTGCCAGAACGAAGAGAGGAGAGGAAGGATTGTGTTTAATGTGTGTTCCCCTGCCTGAGCTACTTTGAAATATAACTAACTGGCCCACCTTCTGTGAGGCCAGCCGGCTCGAGGGAAGGGACAAAGTGAAGCTGCATACACTCCACAGAGGGGAAGTTCTTGAAACAATGTCAAATCAAGTCCTTGTTTTTGTAAAACATAATATATAACTTGGGTGATATTATCCACAGTACAAAGATGGACAATTAGACTTTTTCTTTTTTTTTTTTTTTTTTTTTAATTAAAGTTTGGTCTTTCCATAAGTGTACCCTTTAACTCCTTCTTTGATCACCCAGTGGAGCTTGTTAAGAAATCAAATACAGTAATCAGTTTTCAGGACCACCTAGACTGTCTGGTACGCCATTTTTTTAATGGCGAAACATTTCTAAAATCCATTTAATCTATTTTCACAATCAGAGTGAAACACATTTCTGGGATTTCGCTGACCAACTTTACATAATCTGTCCAGTCTCAAGCAAATCAGTGTGATCGTGTCAAGGACTACAGTATCTGCGCATCTCTTGTGTGTGGTATTTCAAGAGACTGGGAAAAAACCGCTTCGATCGGCGGCGAAACAAGTCATCTGTGTTCACGTCCACACAAAATGGCACAAAATTCCTTTTTTTAATTACCGTATTGGCCCGAATATAAGACGGTGTTTTTTGCATTGAAATAAGACTGAAAAAGTGGGGGTCGTTTTATATTCGGGGGTTTAGACATTATACCCATTCACGACGCTAGATGGCGCCAGATATAAATGAAGCGAATGCTGAACTTGACTCCCCAGGCCCAAGTGAACCCCTGCCACGAAGAATAAAAATAAAAATAGCGCTAGCACGAAGAAGAAAAATAAAAAATAGCGGTAAGAAGGAAAAGAGAAGAAAATAATAGAAGAGACAAGAGAAAATGGAGAAACGTAGTGACAATCTGGAGAAAAGTGGGTCGAAGATCGGCCAGGTTAACCGGCAGCTGAGGAGAGGTTAGTTATGATGTAATTTACGATTCAAAAACCAGAAGCCATTCATTTACGAATGTGATTGCACTTTAGATTTGAATGAGGCAAAATAACATGCTTTTTATCTCAAATATATTGTTATAATCATTTGTTTCAGATGTACTGTAATTATTTTCTGTATAAAAATTAATTTGGTGTTCAAAAAGTCTTTTTTCAAACTTGAGTGTTGAAAAAGAGGGGGTCGTCTTATATTTGGGCCAATACTGTACTTGTGTTTGTCACATCCTGGAGTGCGTATAGGAGCTCGCCATGCACATAGTACATTTATAAATAATTACAAGATTATCACTTGATGTAAAGTTGGCCGCGGTGAAGAGGGCACTTGGACATTGTTTTTGACCCCCCCTACGCATACACAGAGACCCGTTGTCCCATGGTTCAGGTGTGCTTTAAAAAATATATATAATATGGTAATAATAACAATAATGAATTCAATAAATGGATTCCTGCAATGATTCAGAGGGTTCGATGCAGGGCTGATGTCCTATTTATGAATGAAATATGATGACCCCACATATCAGCGGAGAGTGGAGTCTGTCTGAAACGTGTTCTGCCAAATTCTCTAACATAGGTAAACTAGACTTGCGCCGGCACAAACATGAAGATGCGCTAGTTTTTACGCCAAGCACACCTGAGCATGCCTACGAAAATAGGACACAGCATCTCAGAGAGATAGAGAGAGAGAGAGAGAGAGAGAGAGAGAGAGAGAGAGAGAAATCATTTGTTAATTCCTGTGTGTGGGTTGTTTTGCATGCGTGGCTGTGAATACTTTCATGCAGATGTTCCAGTAGCATCCAAATTAAGAGACTGTTTCTAATAGAATCAGGTATGTCAGAGGCACATGGAGTGGTGGTAGCAGCACAGAGAGCGTTAACCAGTCGAAAAATTGCTGCCGTGAGGAAAGTGTAATATTGAGGAGACATACCTTTATGCTCGGAATTCATTTCCACAGCGATTAATCTTGATACGTTCTTCAGTCTGCTCATTGGGAAAAGGCGATTAAAAGAAAAAAAAATTTATTGCCTTTGTAATTGAGGGTTTTTGTTTTTATTTCATTACAAAGGGCCATGTGGCTGGTGACATTCACATAAGCTTTCAGATATTAAATACATATCCCTTTATTGTGCTTTGGAAAGGTGAAGCTTATGGATTGTCTCTTGTGACAAGTGTTTTTCTATATATCTATGTCGTCCTTTTCTTTTGTCACCAATCCCCAAGCCCCGTAAGCTACTGAGGACCATTTCTTAATTAAACCTTTATTTA